GTCTCTGTGGGTTTCTGTACAGGTTATCGTTATGGGGTCCAGAGTTTCCTGAATTGAAAAGGAAGGCTAGGTGCAGATGCCTCTAAAATTCCTCTCCCTCTTAACTCTCTCAGGGAGCACAGGCAACAACAGAGGGCCTCCAGGAAAAGCACTGAGACACCAGCAGGTAGGCACCACCTGTGCTAATGAGCACACAGAGACCAATGCTGGGTTCCATGCATGTTATATGGTTTGTCTTGCCCTCTAATAGCGGCCTTGGGATCCACATTTGCTCTCCTCTGCCCACTTGTGCTCTTTCTAGGCACCGAAACAGCAATTACTACCTCAAGTTCAGACCCTGTACAAGAATTCCCCGATGCTCCAGTGAATGTCACCATCACAGTGACTGCAACACCAGAAGTTCAATGACACTGCAAACAGGCTGAGGGAAGGCAGGGGGTGGGGGGATGGGATGATCCCATCAGCCTTCGGTCTTAAAAACCAAGGAGGCAACTTTGCATCCAACACACAGATATCTATTACTTCTGATTCAATATCTGGGCTGGAAAAGTGGTACACGATCCAGTTGCTGAGCCTCACATGACAAAAGAAGCCCTGATCCAGCTGTGGCAGAGGAAATACATAACTGAAGATGACATGGAGGGCATCTGACAGCAACTGAGGCTGGTACAAGGAATGTCTCTGATACTGGGGAATGAAGAGGCAGTTATGCTCTTTCTAGAAGGAGGAGGCACTGATTGAGCGATCCCTAATTCAATTATATCTAATGTCTAGCAGAGTTATTACAAACTTCTGAGTTGATTGCTTGGGCCATGATTTATCATCAGGAAGGACCAGGTGCCTAGGTATATGTTTCTTCTGTTGAAATGCAGCTCTAGGAACATCGCTAACCTTGCAGCGGTCAGACCCCAAATCTCTGCCAGCAGAGGTATTCAGCAACACCCAAGCCACGAGGCCTTGGGGAGCTGGCTGACAGAGAATGGAGGCTGTTCCAAAGTCACACTCTGATAGCTGCCAGAATGAGTCACTGGCTCCGAGTGTGTGTGTGTGTGTGTGTGTGTGTGTGTGTGTGTCTACAATCTGGGTGAAACACAAGCGAGTGCTTGTTTGGCTGACTGGAAGCATCAGGCTCAGCACTGGCTGCCTCCGCAGAGGACTCCGATGAGAAGAAAACAGCAGCAGAGCCAAGGGATGATCTGCCAGCAAGGAGAGTGGCGCCTGACAGGAGACAGAAAACTGGGAGAAACTTAAGCGTCTTTGGTTCTCACACACTTAGGCTTTATTAGAACAGGGTTTCATCTTTCCTCACAGCTCTCTGGACTGAGTCTAAGAGTTAAAAGTGGTTTATTTAAGTACAGGAAATGCAATACAAAATGGCCACATCTGACAGAAAGGATTCTGCTGTTTTTCTGGTCAGGGAAGATGAACACTGACTATTTGAGGTGGTATAGCAAGCTTCATGAGAGGTGCTACATTGCCATCCTGGAGTTCACACTCCAGCAGTAACAGACACTGTGAAGAAGAACTTCCTCCCACCTCATTTCTCCCCCATCCTCCTGTCTATCCATGCTAACCACCCTAGCAAACAGCTAGCTGCCCATGGTCCCTCTTCCTCCTCCCAATCCTGACGATTAGGACAAGGCAGAGCTGTCCGGGCCCTTGGGTATTCACAGGGATTTGCAGAGCAACAAGGTGGAAGTTACGAAAAGTCTCCAAACAGGACATTACATACCCTAGTCAAAAGCCACGGGGCCACTTTGTGCACACAGGCATGCATGAGAACCCCTCTTCACAGGCTACTGTGTGTGAAAGCAGCATTCTCTTTTAATATAAAATCATATCAGCCAAATAAAACCTATCAAAGCTACATCACTTAAAGTATGTACAATTTCAAACATAATATCACAACTTTAAGGAAAATAAAACATATTTTTCAGTATAGTACACAACATGCATCTCAGGGTCAGTGCTGTAAGAGCGAGCAATACAGGTAAAGGGTGATTCCAAACAGTCCCTTGGTAGTCCTGAAGCTGGTGGAGAGAAGTGACAGACATGGACGGCATGGTATGATGCCTTGGTCTTCAGAGATCCAGTCTATACAAAGAGAGCCCAGCAAAAACCACTTGAAGATGAGATCACTTCAACAGTTTAGAGTAATGCAATTAACCTGTACCCTGTACAGCACCGATTACCAGAGTTCGCACATAACCAAAGAACACAAGCAGGGAGTGGCAGCGTGATTCACTAGGACTGGGGTAAGTTTAATGCTAAGAACAAAGTCGCCCAAAACATGAAGAAGCCCTACCAACTTCTGGGCCATCGCCTGCTGAAGGTCAGACGGCCACTGGGGAGGGAGAGGGCAGGAGCAGGGTGCGGGTTAGGCAGGGTGTCAATGAGAGACTCCTGAAGATAAAGTACTCAGTTCGACTCTGCCAGTTTGGGATGAGGGTGGACAGAGGGGTAGTTGCACTAGCTGCAGCAGGAACCTCGAAGAGACAGAGAGCAGCGAGGGGGCGACACATGGGGACAGTACATGTTCTGCACTGGTTCCACAGAGAGTGAGCCGGAACACTTCCAGAAAACAAGGAAATGGACACTGAGGTGACAGACCAGGTGTAAACGGCTCTGGCGACTTCACGCCTGCTCTGTTTGTTGAGGGGTTGGATGAGACAATACTAACAAATAGAGTCTAATACACAGCAGTTCCTCCACATGCGTGCCACCCCTATATTTTCATTTTCCTATGGCCTCTTAATTCCTAGGGAAGTGACACTTGCTGGGATCACATTTGGTGACTGTGCGGGGCATGAAAATTCAGAGAAACTCACACTAAGGAGAACTCAAACTCCTAAATATAAAGGCAATTAATATAGATTTATATTTATATTTATATATCTCAATATATAAAGCCATTTTTTTATAAATAAAATACAATAAAACCGATAACACTTAAAACAGCGTTACTATCATAAATAAAGCAGTCCACAATGAGATTGCCCTAAAGGTAAAGTCATTTTCTCTTCATCATGGGCAAGCCCCATGTCAAATTCAATCTTTAAAAGCAGTTTCTGACCTAAGGCTCATGCCAACATACCTCTGCTTCATGAGTCACAATGAACAACTGACTGCCCACAGACAGCTGCTTCCTGCTTTCCTAACCCTCCCCCCCAAAAAAACAAGACGGCTTTGTTCTAACCCGACTGGCAAAACACATAGTATGCTTCTATGTCATGTGTACTAGGACTTTACCCTTTTCTAGTCACAGATGTAAAGAAGGGCTGCAGCTAACGGCCTCCAAAACTAACTGCAGATCTCTTATGCTACAGACATGAACCCCAAGCTCAAGGAACTTGCTTCGACAGCAGTCCCGCTACCCAGCTACAGAGTTCTACTCACTGCATTCTACCAGGAGTAACTTGCATAGTGCCCTGCTGAAACAGCACATATCTACTAACAGTTCTATTTATAAAAGATACACATATACGTAAGGAAATACTGGCACATTTATATAGAGTTGATTAGTACAGTATCTTATTCTCTTCCACTGCAATTTGTGGGAAACTAAAACAAAATGTATCCTGGAATTGTTGGATTCCACATAAAGAGAATAATTTTTGTTTCTTCCCCCCCTCCCCCCCAGGGGATATACCATTCAAAAACAGAGCAGTGATCCATCAGGGTGCATCTGTAGTGCCTAGGGTTTCTGTTTCACACATGGAGAAAAGCCTCCCAAAGGTAGCTGCAATGTTTTCGCCCCTCAGAAGATAGTAACTGTGATGCATAGACCCCCATTGACCACAGACTGAGTTACCACTCACAATGATGGCGGCCAGAAAAACTGTCATAAAATGCCCCTAAACCTTTTCTTCAGACTTAGCCTTTCCTGACATCTGCAACAGTTTAGACACCTTTTCCAAAAGGCCTATGTGTTGAAGGCCTGGTTCCCTGGGTGGGATGTTTAGGAGGTGGTAGAGTCTAGCATTGGGAACAAATGTGAGGTCTTCAGGGCTAGAGACATCCTCTCGGCAGGATCTGTACACTCTGTGCCTCTTCTCTTTCTCCCTTGCCTCAGGCTTACGGTGTGAGCTATTTTGCTCTACCATGCATGCCCGCCATAATGTGCTCCTCGAGCACAGGCCCAAAGCTGCAGGTCTTGGATCACAACTGGAACTTCTACAGCAGGGAGCCAAGATAACCTTCTCTCTGCATAAGCTAATCACCTCAGGTATTTTGCTATAGTGGCTGAAGGCCACTCATGCATGCTCACTCATATCTTCTAGGATACTGCCCATGCTGGATGTGACAAAATTGGCAGTCTTCAAGTGTGTGGCACTATGAGCACTATGGAACAGAACAATGAGCTTCACTTAGCTTGGTCCCTTCAGCCCTCTTCTTTCTTCTATTTAAGGTGTGTAGCGTCTTTCTCTTCGAGCTACCACTTTAAACATTTGATTTTGTACACACCCTTGCAAATAATGTAAAGATCCCATGGTGACCATTTTGTAAACTGACACAATTAAAGTAGTGGGCTATGAAGGCATTCATTTTCTTTCTGAACCTCGATCCCTTTCTACATAATGCAATAATCCAACCAGACCTTACATGCTTCCATGTTCATAACACTGGCTAATTTTACCCCGAAGACTGATCATTACTTGTACCCAGGCATAGAGAGGAAATAAGTCAGTATTAGTACTTTTCTGGGAGGCAGTCATAAAATTTGTCAGTTGGGTTTGCTTTTATAAATGTAAGGTCACAACTATGGTTGATTCCTAAATGTTCTCAGAAAGTCTGATACCATGGAATAAGTGACAGTTTTCTATCTGGGAGTGACTGGTGGCAAACTTCAAATGGCCCGGGCAGTCCCCACTCCCCACAACTGAATAGGACAGCAGATGGGACCCAGCACAAGTTCCTACTGCCATAGAAGATTCTGGAAAACAAAGAACAATCCCTCTGCTCTCCAGATGATTGAACCTACATAAAATGGGTGGGAGGGGGTCCTATCTAGGGGGAGAGAGAAATGGAAAAGGGAATACTTGAGGAATAAATAATATAAAAGAACACACATTTTAAGATACATTCATGACATTACTACTACAAAAAAATAAATAATGACTTTCTCTGATTTGAATTAATGTCCTTCACACCGTTTGTCCCCAGTTGTTGTGCAGTTACTGGCTTGCAGTGGGGACAAGAAGAAGCCTGTGTAGCTCCTCAGGTCTCTTGGGCTTGCTGAAGGACCACTGACAGCCCGTCTAGAGGAAGACCAGGGGACCATGCTGTCTTTTCAGTGCAGTCCTCCAAGACAGGTGACAAAATAAGAGGGTTCCAACTTAAAACTTTGTCCTCTCTTTCTGAATGGCCATTTCTATCTCCTGAAAAAACACAGAGATTTGGGCACATTATAAACTAATACATGGTTTTCACACAGCAGTTTCTGAAAACAGTATGTTGAAAATAGAACATGCAGAAGTAAGCCCCACTTAGGCTTGGTTTGAATCAGAGGAAGAAAAGTACATTTAAAAACCTGGATTCTCTAAAGTTACAATATAAGTCAGTTGAGATTAAAATGATACTCTTGGGAGCCCCTTAAAAAAGTACCTTAAAGAAAGGTTATAGCTCCTACAGCTGACTCAAAGGAAAGCAGGCCAATACTCACTAAAGGCACACCCAATGCAATAGGATGAGCAACCTGAGCCATCTACTGATGCTATACCACCCTGAATGTGAGTGACCCCATCTGATCCCAGAAGCTAAGCAGGGTCAGCTTTGGTTAGTACTTGGATGGGAGAGACAATGTAGGCCGAAGGATATAATAATAGAATTTCCAACAGTCTCTTACCCATCCTTACCTTTTCTTAAAGGACCCAACATTCCCACCCAGTCTTCTAAGCAGTCAGTGAGCTGACCATAGAAAACTTCCTGATATAGTTCTTAGCCCACTGGAGACCAGAAATTTAATGAGTAAAAATGCCTCACTGTACCTCTGCTGACCTCTGCTGTATCTTCTGTGGAATCTGAATTGATGTCACTTATATTGTCCTGACAGCAGGTATGCTGGATAGGTGTTGGTGCCACACTGTCCTTGATGCTCTCCTCGGGTAACTGACCACAATCAGGAAGTGTGGGAGCTGGACACGTGGGTACCTTCAAGGCACTGAGGGGCTTCATTTCCAGACCATCCTGAAGATAGGAAGCCACCACTGGGACCACGGGAAGGGGACTGTTGGTTTTGGTGAAACACCTGTGGAGTTTAAGCCAAAAGAAACAAAACTGAGTGTCTACAGGCATCAATAATTAAAATAAGCTCATTAAAAAATATAATGAATATCTCATATTTACAAACTCTTAAGAATTATGCTTTAAAAATAACTAGTTGGTTTGTTATGATTTGAAATAGCAAAACCCTGAAAATTAGTTATAGTGGACAATGGTAGGAAAATTCACCAAAGGCAAACCACTTAAGGACAGAACCTTCTATGATGACCACTGTCAGAAGACACCTCCCATTTCATTAACTAGTTCCTCAATACAGCACACGGGAGCCAGACACACCAGCTACTACAAGGAAAGAAGGAGAGAAAGAAAGGATAGAAAGCTAAGACACATGGCTGCATAGGAGGAAGGACCTTATGGCAGTCAGTATACAAACACACGACTTTGAATTCAGGTTGGTGTATTACTTCCTTTTCTCATGTTGTGACAAAATACCCAACTAAGTGACGTAAGGGAGGAAAGGTTTACTCTGGCTCTGAGTTCAAGGGTATGATACATCATGGTGTAGAAGGCTTGGCAAAAGGAGTTGGAGGCAGATGGTCACATTGTATCTGCAGTCAAGAAGATGCTGTCTTATTTGCTTTCTCCTTTTTATTCAGTCTGTCATTGTTTGCTAATGGTGATGGGTGATGCTTGGGTCATCCCAGCATCTGTTCCTACTGTCTTAGTGATTTTCCCCAAGAAGCACCACAGTCCTGTCTCCTTGGATGTACCCTAATTCTTTTTCATTTCTCCTTGAATTTTCTGGTTGTTTTACTGCCGTTGTACTCAAGTCTTCTGATAGATTCTTTCTCAGGCCCTTACCCCAAGACTGGAGAAAGTTGTCAGGAGAAACTCAGACTATCTTTGAAAGAGTGGGTTCTAGTCTGGTTTCTGCCTGCTCTGGTCACTCCCCAATGCTGCTGTCTAAATTGTATCATTGCCATCTGTAAGACCAAGCTGCTCCCCTGTTACAGGTACATTTTTCTTAATTTCTACAATTGAGACTAAGAAAAGTTTGAAAATGATGGGCTTTTATGTAAGGCAGGCAGGAAAAACAGAACCAAGCAGCTGTGTACTAGAAATAGATCCTTTGAGAGAACGAAGGTCAGAATTCTTTATTTCCATCTTTTATACATGGGACAGCAGGTTTATGAGACAAAAAAATTAGGAAAGGGGTCCAGTTGTGTTGGCTGAAATCATTGGAAAGAGCAGTTCTGAGCAAGACAATGTAGACAACCCTGAAAGAGAATCAGACACAAGTCAGTAAATCGAGTCATTAACTTAAACAAAACCCAACTTCTATTTCAATTTAAAAAAAAAAAAATGCATCAACTATACAGTTGAAGGACACTAGGGACCTAATTAACTTTTGAAAATATGGTAAAATATGAATACGACCTATTTTCCCATGCAGGTCTTCAACTAGTCCAAATGACAAACAGGTTCAGTCATGAATGACCTGGAGTCAGTACTACAGCCCTGGCCTGAACATGTCACATCTCAAAGGAGTACAGTATTAATTCTGAATTATTCTCTTGGCTGTTTTATTCAACTCAGAACTTTTAACAGTGTCTTTTAATCATTGTCTCCCTTCCACAATGCATTATGTTGTTAGCCTCTCTGGCTCTCGTACTCAGTGAACTCCAAGTCCCCCTGTAGATTCAACACACGGTACCCACAGATGTTGATTATGTTGAAATAGGGGATAAGGGGAAACCTTTCTAGTTTCAAACTACTATTAGAGAGAACGTAATGAGTATGAGGGTTTCCACAAATACTCTCCTGCAGAAGATCCCACCAACTGTCCAGCACTGTGTAGACACTGTGAATAACAAGGCAAAAACAGCAGAGGTCCTGTTCCCAGCCTAGCAGAGGAGATAAACAAGCAGACAAAGGTGCCAACCGAGTGCCTGCAGAGACCAGAGGAGGACATCCAGTATCTGCTCTACCACTCTCCACTTTTTATTCTGAGATAAAGTCTCTCACTGAATCTGGAGTCAGGCTGGCAGCCAGCAAACCAAAGCAATCATCCTGTCTCCACTTTCCCTAGCCCTGGGGCAACACTTGCAGCTGTGTCCAGCTTTTCACATGTGTGCTAGGGATTTGAACTCAGGTCCTCATTCCTGTGTGGAGAGCACTCTTCCTTACTGGGTCATCTCCTACCCTAAACCTCAGCATGACATCTGTTCAAGTGATCTGGCCCGCATCCAACTACATGGCTAGATATAAAAGTCTTTTCTGGAAGAAAACATCTTCTGGAGTTTATACTAGTTATACGGATTACATGGAAAACATACTGCCAAGTGTTAAACAAGAATAAGATAAGCAAGTTGGGGAGGGAGAGATGGCTCAGCAGTTAAGAGCACTTGTTGCTCTTGCAGAGGACCTGTGTTCAGTTCCCAGCACCCACCCGGTGGCCCACAATCACCCATTAACATCAGTTCAAGGGGATCCGACCCCTCTTCTGACCTCTAGCAGACAGTGACAATACTGAGGTGTTGAAGGTCTCCAGGTTGAAGGAAAGTGGGTAACCACAGACAGAAGAAAGAAAATACAGACATGACCAGGTAGCAACAGAAGGACAGTGTAGATACTAACTGGCAGGAAGCATGAGAATCAACTATAAAGTCTTAGAGGATTTTTAACTATGTATGTATGTATGTATTTTTAACTATGTATATGGTTTTAACTATTGTAGCACAAAACCATATACAAAGATCACAAAACACAGGAGTAAATGGAGTTAAGCCATTATATTCTACTGTCTGAGAAGTAGGATGAATTCTTATTTACTTGTTCTGTGTGTGTGTGTGTGTGTGTGTGTGTGTGTGTGTGCGCGCGCGCGCGCACGTGCGCGCACAGATGGAATTCAGAGGACAACTTACTAGAGTTAGTTCTCGCCTTCTATTGTGTGGATTCTGGGGACTGAACTTAGGTTGCCCATTTACCTCCCAAGAGCCTTTCCTGCCAGCCTCTTGTATGAGTTCTAAATGTGCATTAGACTCCAGCTAAAGTCATAAAGCCCAGTGCTAAGCACAGAGTAAATGATGCACAGTAGGGCTTAAAATGTAAAATAAACAAACAATGCTTACCATCAGACATTGGGCTTTTGTGTCCACCTTTTCTCAAGCAGGTAAGTAAGCTCTTAAGGAACAGCAGTGGGCTCATCAGAAGTTGCTGTTCACAGTCTATGTCTCAAGTGAGGTGAGACACATTCACTAAAGCAGGAGACCCTGGCATACCTACCCTTTGGCTGTTTGCACATGGTACTAACTGTCCAACTGTGTTCAGTAGATAGCTATTTTGTTGGCTAGATATTTTTACTACTATCTGTTGACTTCAGAGTTGTCTAGAGGTCAGGCAATGACTGTCCTCAATGTCACAGGACAGCTAAGGATAATAAGACAAAAAGCCACAGCCAGGCCCTTGATCTTGTCAGTGTTACAGGTGCTAAGTGACCCTCCCCAGGACCTAACGTAATGACAGGTGGCAGGAGGCAGAGCTTAGAGGATACAGAAGGACCAGAAAGAGAGGTTCATTTTAAAAAGAGGTCAAATTAGGCTGAGGGAAAAAGAAAAGCCATGCTTGCCACAATCTGAAAAAAACAAGGCAGTTCCCTATAAATAAACATTACAAATGTGAATTAATTCACAGAGTCAATGTGAATTCGTTGAATTATGCTGAAGTAACAAAATGCCAGGGACTCACCAGACAGTGAGAGGCCTTCTTCCTTCCCTTTGGCTTCCTCTTTCCTGTGATCTTCTTTAATTTAAAGCTGGTTGTAGATGGAGTTTCTGAGTGAAGTCTAAGGGTTTTGCAATACCATGATTTCTAAAGGACTTGCCAGAGTGACACGAAGTTACATTCACAGGGCAGGACCAGGATTTAGTAAGACGGAAGAGCAAGGGCCAGCTTTTCCAGGGATAGTCATCGATGTTAATGTGTCAAGCACATATTAAACAGGCATTTAATGACGAGATTCTTAGCAGGAGAAAGTGCAATTTCCTTTTACTTATTCTTTTAGCATCTGCGTTTCAGGTAAGTAGACCAGGAAATCACAAACTCCATCCTGAATTCTGCCTCTCCTTCATCAGATGGGGTGGAAAATAATATAATTTACAACTGTAAAGTAGCTACAACCCAGATTTCACAATGGTAAGCCACATAGATTTAAAATTTTCTAGTACATCAAATCTTAACTCAGACTCGGCAATGAACCACTTAGCAAACCAAATGTAAGCAATTCCATCACCTTTCCTTTAGTGTACTTCCAGATGTCTGTGTGCCCACACAAAAAGCATATGGGCCGTAGAGGGGTATGACCTCTGCCAAATGTGACCAGGCAGGGACTGAGGAGGCCAGTCTGTCGCTGATAGTAGCTGTGAATACCTGAGAGACCAAATCTCCCCGGGGTGAAAAAGACTCTTAAAAGGCACTCTGGAGTTCACACAACTCAGTAACTTTGCAGTCTGAGGCTGCACAGCCTACAAATATAGTGCTGGAGGCTGTGGAGCTGATGTTTCTGCAGAGCTGTCTCCAGCCCCATGAAACCCCATCTCTTAATGTTATCAACACCAAGTAAATGGAACTCTGAGCATCTGGTCATATGCAAAGTCTGGGTCATTCTGTAAGCGCCCAGGTGATCTAGGACTTGTCAGTTTACAAGACAGCCTTTTCATCTGTCTGTGGGTTTAGGAGAAAGAAAAATGGCTATTTCAGGAATCACAGAAACAATAAAATACCCTGTAGCCAGCAATCTGAACAGCACACATGGAATGAAAAGGAGGAACTGAATAGTAGTATAAGTTTGCATCTGGGACACAAGGAGTGTTAATAGTTGATTAAACTTAATTTGGCTATTTCTGTAAAACTATACAAAACAAACATTTCCTAAAGAAGTATTTTACTTCTGATTATATGGCTGAATATAATCAGGCATAATTATGACAATTACTTTGATCAGATGACAGGACAAGTTTTACATGA